AAAAAAAAAAAAAAAAAAAAGATAGCTAATGGAATCTGAAATGTGATATGACTTAACTGGCTTTTCCTTTCTCATTAGAAAGGGAGACCATTTTTCATATCGTGGCTTCCCTGGGTATTTGTTCTCTAAAATGCTGGCTTCTAGGCCTCGCACAGAGGCTCAGGCCGGTAATGTCAGCATTTTGTGTGATGGTGTGTGCCTGTACTCCTGGGTACTCAGGAGGCTGAGGTGGGAGGATTGCTTGAACCCAGGAGATAGAGGCTGTGAGCTGTGTGTGATCACTGTGAGCTGTGATCATACCACTGCACTCCAGCCTGGGGGACAGAGCGACACCCTGTCTCAAAAAAATCAAAAGAGAGCAACTCCCCCAACCACTGCACACACGAAATGCTTACTTCTACTTCCCATACCTGGGTGGGGCAGGGGCTGGAACTCCACAGGCTCTGGGAGGTGCTGGGGTCAGTGGCCCCAGCAGGTGCTCAGTGGTATTGAGGCCACACTGCCCTGGGCGGTCTGGCCAGGACTGGCCGGGACAGTTCCCCTCTGCGGGCTCCCTGTGCCCTGAGCCACTGTAGGCGCCTTCCCTAAAATTTCTGAGCAGAGGGCCTGGAAAACAGTACTCTACCACCCAACACTTTTCCATCAGGCCCCGACACAGTTAATGGTTTGGTTTTCTTCTCTATAGCCTGTGACTTGTACAAGGGATTTTAGCTGTGTCCTTGGGCACGAAGCCCTTGTCACCTCTTGATTCCCCACCTATGTGGCCCCTATGGCCCCACCGGTTCCAGGACCTCCCCTCGAATGCTCACCCACCATCCCTCGTGCAAGTGATGGAAAAGGGAGGACTCCCCACGTTTCACCGGGACTGCCTGTGGTGGCTACAGCCGACACTCGCCGCCCACCGGCTCTGAGCCTGAGGCCTGCTTCTGGCCTGACCTTGGGGGCCTGCGCAAAGCGACCCAGCGCGAGGACCAGTCCCCAACCAACCCGCTCCTAGCTCTGGGCGCCTTCTCCAGCAGTCAGAAGGGGGCTCCAGGCCGGGCGCGGTGGCTCACGCCTGTAATCCCAGCACTTTGGGAGGCCGAGGCGGGTGGATCACGAGGTCAAGAGATCGAGACCATCCTGGTCAACATGGTGAAACCCCGTCTCTAGCAAAAATACAAAAAATCAGCTGGGCATGGTGGCGCATGCCTGTAATCCCAGCTACTCAGGAGGCTGAGGCAGGAGAATTGCCTGAACCCAGGAGGCGGAGGTTGCGGTGAGCCGAGATCGCGCCATTGCACTCCAGCCTGGGCAACAAGAGCGAAACTCCGTCTCAAAAAAAAAAAAAAAAAAAAAGAAGGGGGCTCCAGAGGCCCGTGCGCGGCCACTTGGCCCTGGACCCGGCAGGAGGTCGTGGGGACGCAAGTGCGCGAAGCGCACAGTCTTCCTGGGCGTGGGGCTGAGCTGGGGCGGCGCTGGGAAGGGAGATGGGGCTGGATATGAGGGTCGCTGTCGACTGCTCGGATCTCTCTGGCCCGAATGGCGCCAGCGGCCTCTAGCTCAGCCTGCGGGAATCCAGACTCTTCCCAGCAGTCCTACCGCCCGTGTGCCCCTCGCACCCGGTGCTCTCCCCGCAGCGCCTCCGCCGCCCGCCCCGGCGTCCCAGCCCCGCCTCCACGCCCCTCCGAGCTCCCGGCGCAGCGCTGCCGCCGCCACTCCCCCAACATTCCAGAGGCCGCAGCGCCGTCTCCTTCCTCGCATTCCTGCCCCGCAAAGGAGTCCCTCCGCCCCCCGCCCCCTGCGCGGCCGCAGGGAGGAGGGGGCGCGGCCCGGCGCCCGAAAGCGCACATTCCTCCGCCGCGCGCGCCACCGAGCGGGACGCCGAGTCTCTCGGCCCGCGCGCGGCCGCCGGAGCGACCCCGGCCCGGCGCCGGCCCCGCCCCGCCCCGCGCCCAGGGGTCCCCGGGCGGGCTCCGGGCTTCGGGCGGACGATGCGGCGGCCCGGCCGGAGCGGCGGCGGGAAGCGGAGGCGGAGGTGACGCGCCAGGGCCGCCGGGCAGGGCAATGCAGCGCTCCCGGGCGGCCGCGGACGAGGCGGCCCTGCTCCTGGCTGGGCTGGCCCTGCGGGAGCTGGAGCCCGGGGGCGGCTCTCCCGCCCGGGGGTGGCGGGGGCCGCGGCCTGGGCCTGGAGACGAGGCGGCGCTGGGCCGTAGAGGGAAGGGCGGTGGAGGCCCCGAGGCTGTGGCGGACGGACTGAGCCGCGGGGAACGGGGTCCCCGGCGCGCGGCGGCCCCAGAGCTTAGCGTGCAGCCTGCGGGCAGCCCACGGGCCAGCCTGGCGGGCTCCGACGGCGGCGGCGGCGGCAGCGCCAGCGCCCGCTCCAGCGGCATCAGCCTGGGCTACGACCAGCGCCACGGTAGCCCGCGCTCCGGCCGCTCGGACCCGCGCCCTGGCCCCAGGCCCCCGTCGGTGGGCAGCGCCCGCTCCAGCGTGTCCAGCCTTGGCTCCCGGGGCTCCGCCGGCGCCTACGCCGACCTGCTCCTGCCTGGCGCTTGCCCCGCGCCCGCTCGCTCCCCGGAGCCTGCGGGGCCGGCCCCCTTCCCGCTGCCTGCGCTCTCGCTGCCCCCGAGCCGGGAGGGCTGCCCGAGTGCGGCCGAGAGGCGGCTGGAAGCGCTCACCCGGGAGCTGGAGCGGGCGCTGGAGGCACGTACGGCGCGGGACTACTTCGGTAAGCGGGCTCGGGACCGCAGTTCTCTGTGCGCGCGGCCGGGGTCCAGGATTCCGGGACGGCCTTAAGGAGGCGGCCGGCTCTGCGGAGGAGAGCGCGGGGCGGGCTGGGGGTACAGTGGGTGCACGGGACTGGGACGAGCAAGACGCGTTCCTCCGGGCCTAGGGAGCACAGAGGGTGAGTGTGCGTGCATGGATCCCCAGCAACGGCATCACCCCCGCTCCTGGGTTCCCCGCCACTGGAGGAGTTCTGGGCGAGCGAGTTGATGCGCGGTTCCTAACAGGCAAGTCAGCTTCATGGGTACACCGAGCCGTTTTTTTGATAATTTCTTCTTTCTTCCTTTCTTTATTTTCTTTTTCTGAGACAGGGTCTTGCCCTGTCGCCCAGACGAGTGCAGTGGTGCTCGCTATCTTGGCTCACTGTAGCCTCGGCCTCCCCTAGTAGCTGTGACTACAAGTGCACACCACCACGCCTCGCTTTTTTTTTTTTTTTTTTTTTTTTTTTTTAAGAGACAGGCGTGGTGGCTCACGCCTGTAATCCAAGCACTTTGGAGGCCAAGGCGGGCGGATCACCTGAGGTTGAGAGTTCAAGACCAGCCTGACTAACACGGTGAAACCCCGTCTTTAAAAAAAAAAAAAAAAAAAAGAGATGGGGGTCCCTATGTTGCTCAGGCTGGCCTCAAAACTCCTGGACTCAAGCGATCCGCCCTCCTCGGCCTCCCAAGGTGCTGGAATTACAGGCGTGAGCCACTCTGCACCTGGCCTGATCTTTTATTATTTTTCCTTCGTGCTCTCATCCTATCCGATCCGTTCATGCTTCGTGATCAGCAAAAAGGATGCTTCCCCTTTTGGACCACCACGGTATGGGTGTGGACAGCAAACGGGAGATGGAGTGGCCCAGGTGGCAGCGGACACCGCCTGACCCAGGCTTTGGTGATGGTATCGGCTGGAGAGGGAGACTGTGTGAGGGAAGAAAACCCACTATGGGGGAGAGGGGACCCAAGCCAGTCACATGGGGCTGCCCTCGCCTGGGCTGTGCTGTGCTTTGGAGACAGGGTGTTTCCTGAAGGAATCCTGCTGCAGGTGCATCTGCAGAGTCCAGCAGCCTGACAGCCTCCACTTCCCAGTGTGGCCCAGGCTCCCTATCTCTAGTTCTTGGGACAGCTCTTCGAGTGAGATTGTGAGCGGGGCAGAAGTACTGTGAGGCCTGGGGAGAGAACTTCCTAACTCGCCTTCTGTATCAAGCACCTGGCTTTGGTAGATGGATGGTCACCATGCCTGAGACCGTGGCCATCCTGGGGTTTGTGTCTTTGAGCATTCGATCGTGTCAGCAGCTCATGGCTGCCCTGAACTGGATCTTGTTTTTGAGACGGGAGTCTCGTTCTGTCGCCAGGCTGTAGTGCAGTGGCGCGATCTTGGCTTACTGCAACCTCTACCTCCCGGGTTCAAGTGATTCTCCTGCCTCAGCGTCCTCAGTAGCTGGGATTACAGGTGCACACCTCCACGCCCAGCTAATTTTTGTATTTTTAGTAGAGATGGGGTTTCACCATGGTGGCAAGGCTGGTCAAACTCCTGACCAGGAGATCCACCCACCTCGGCCTCCCAAAGTGCTGGGATTGCAGGAGTGAGCCACTGTGCCAGGCCCACTTTCCTGATTTAAAAAAATGGGCAACTATTTGTTTGAGCTACATGGCTCTGATGTTATTTGACTTTGATGAGTTGCAAAAGTGGCAGTGTCATAGAGTTCAACCAGAATAATACAGCATTTTACAAAAGGAAGCCTGCAGGTAGCTTGAGCTTTAGTGATCTCTGATAAACCTTGCCCTCAGAATGTGGCTTTTTTGTTTTAAATTAAATTTTTTGTTTTTTGTTTTTTATAGACAGGGTCTCACCCTGTCACTCAGGCCGGAGTGCAGTGGTGAGATCAGAGCTCACTGCCGCCTTGAACTCCCAGGCTCAAGTGATCCCCCTGCCTCAGCCTCCTGAGTAGCTGGGACCACAGGTGCACATCACCACGCTTGGCTGAATTTTTTTATTTTTTGTAGAGATGAGGTTTTGCTTTGTGGTCCTGGGTGGTTGCGAACTCTTGGATTCAAGCGATCCTCCCTCCTCAGCTTCCCAGTGTAGGGATTACAGGCGGCAGCCACTGTGCCTGGCCAGAGCATTTTTTTTTTTATTCCCAACCCTCATCCCTTCCTGTCCTTGGCCCTGGTACCGGCTGACCTCTTGGTTGCTCTGTGCCATTCACTGATGTCTTCGGAACATTCCCCTCGCCCCTCCCCAAGTTCCGCTGCCATTAGCCAGCCAACAGCCTCAGGCTTCCGGAACCTCTTCAGCTTTGGTGACCTCCCTGCCTTCTCTTCAGCCACCCACTCTCAGGGCCACGCCCTGTTTTTGCTTCACTCCAGCAGCCCTTAGTTGTAACCCCAGCCTGCTTCTCGGGAGTTCCTCTCATTCCTGTAATCGCTGTCTGCCCAGCAGAACTCCGACTCTGGGTCTGTGCATCAACCTCCTCTGTGGCCGCTATATCAGGCTGGGAAGGGCTCTGAGGACGCCCTCAGGACCCTGGGAGGTTTGTCATCCTCCCCCCTGGCACCAGTGACACCCTAAGCCTTTGTCAGTTTCCTCTGTTATTCCCTGTCTCTCTCTCTCTTTTTTTTTTTTTTTTTGAGACAGAGTTTCACTCTTGTTACCCAGGCTGGAGTGCAATGGCGCGATCTCGGCTCACTGCAACCTCCGCCTCCTGGGTTCAGGCAAGTTTCCTGCCTCAGCCTCCTGAGTAGCTGGGATTACAGGCTCGCACCACCATGCTCAGCTGATTTTTTTGTATTTTTACTAGAGACGGGGTTTCACCATGTTGACCAGGATAGTCTCGATCTCTTGACCTCGTGATCCACCCGCCTCGGCCTCCCAAAGTGCTGGGATTACAGGCATGAGCCACCGCGCCCGGCTCTCTCTTTTTTTTTTCTTCCCTGAGATGGAGTTTCACTCTTGTTGCCCAGGCTGGATTGCAATGGCACGATCTTGGATCACCGCAGCCTCTGTCGCCCGTATTCAAGTGATTCTCCTGTCTCAGCCTCCGGAGTAGCTGGGATTACAGGCGCTTGCCACCTTGGCTGGCTAATTTTTGTATTTTTAATGGAGATGGGGTTTCACCATTTTGGCCAGGCTGGTCTTGAACTTCTGACCTCAGGTGATCTGCCCACCTTGGCCTCCCAAAGTGCTGGGATTACAGATGTGAGCCACTGCGCCCGGCACCTCTGTTATTCTCTCAGCAACCTTCCTCTCTCCTCGGACCCCTACCTTTGCTTCTGACTTTGCTTGGAATCTTGAGGTCTGCAGTTACAATCCATCTCCACCAGCTTCCTGCCCCTCCCATCCCCCGTAGATGCTCCAAGTTCATGTTAGCCGCACTCGCCTGTTGTCTGAGAGGACGAGGTTCCTCCCATTGCCAGTCTCTACCTCTTGCGCCTTCAGCTCTCCTCTTTTCATTTGCCCCTTCCCTTTGTTTATTTTTATTTTTATTTTATTTTTATTATTTATTTATTTATTAAAGACACGGTTTCACCATATTGATCAGGCTGGTCTTAAACTCCTGACCTCAAGTGATCCGTTTGCCTCAGCCTCCCAAAGTGCTGGGATTACAGGCGTGAGCCACTGCGCCCGGCTAATTTTTTTTTTTAGAGACAGGATCTAGCTCTGCTGCCCAGGCTGGAGTACAGTGGTGCGATCACAGCTCACTGCAGCCTTGAACTCCCAGGCTCAAGCGATCCTCTTGCCTCAGAGTTCTGAGTAACTGGGACCACAGGTGCATGCCACCATGACTGGATAGTTTTTTAAAAAATTTCGTAGGCTGGGCGCGGTGGCCCCTGCCTGTAACCCCAGCACTTTGGGAGGCCAAGGCGGGTGGATCACGAGGTCAGAAGATCGAGACCATCCTGGCCAACGTGGTGAAACCTTGTCTCTAAAGAAAACAAAAACAAAAACAAAAAAAACAACAAAAAAAATTTTTTGTAGAGATGGGGCTCTTGCTGTGTTGCCCAGGCTGGTCTGGAACTCTTGGGCTCAAGTGATCCTCCCGCTTTGGCCTCCCAAAGTGCTGGGATTATAGGCGTGAGCCACTGGACCCAGCTCCCCTCCTTACTTCCTTCAGGCCTTTGTTCAAATGTCACCTTGTGAGTGAGGCTTCTATGAATACCTGATTTAAAAAGCACACCTCCTTGGCCAGGCATAGCGGTACTTGCCTGTAGTCCCAGCTTCTCGGGAGGCTGAGGTGGGAGGATTGCTTGAGCCCAGGAGTCAAGTCTGTAGTGAGCTATGATTACACCACTGCACTCCAGCCTGGATAACAGAGTGTGACTCTGTTTTTTTTTTTTTTTTTTTTTTAAAAGATGGGGTTTCACCATAATGGCCAGGCTGGTCTTGAACTCCTGACCTCAGGTGATCCACCCACCTCGGCCTCCCAAAGTGCTAGGATTACAGGCGTGAGCCACCGCGCCCGGCTTTTTTTGAAAAAATAAAAAAAAAAAAAAAAAAAACAAAGAAAAAGGCCGGGTGCAGTGGCTTACACCTGTAATCCCAGCACTTTGGGAGGCCAAGGTGGGTGGAACACATGAGGTCAGGAGTTTGTGACCAGCCTGACCAACATCGCATCTCTACTAAAAATACAAAAAATTAGCCGGGCATGGTGGCACGTGCCTGTAATCCCAGCTACTTGGGAGACTGAGGCAGGAGAATCGTTTTAACCCAGGAGGCGGAGGTTGCGGTGAGCCAAGATTGTGCCATTGCACTCCAGCCTGGGAGTGTAAGAGGGAAACTCCAACTCAAAAAAAAAAAAAAAAAAAAAAAAGGAGTCAGATGGTGTCCGTTGGGTGGCATAGGCCGTGGCGCTAACCCCTGCTCTCTCCTGCCTCTCCTAGGCATTTGCATCAAGTGTGGACTTGGCATCTACGGAGCCCAGCAGGCGTGCCAGGCAATGGGGAGCCTGTATCACACTGACTGCTTCACCTGTGACTCCTGTGGTAGGTAACCTCGTGCCCCTGTGAAGGGGACCTGCCATGTCATCCCCATTCCCCTCAAACCCCCTTGTACCTGAGTCCAGGCAGATGGACCACCTGGCTCTGGCCCAGGCTGGGCTGTGGAGGACTCTGTCTGGGGAGGAGGCGTGGGGCCACTGAGGAGCCTTTTGCTGGCTGTAGGGCAGGGCTGCCCCCTGCTCGTCAGCCGTGGAGCCTCTGTACCATGCAGGGCACCAGTGTCATCCAGCTGCCTGGGAGCAGGGTTGGAAGCCCCTGAAGAACCTTCTGCCTGTCTGGACATACGACTAATGTTTCTTTTTCCTGCAGTCTATTTTTGTTGTTGTTGTTGAGACAGAGTCTTCTCTGTCGCCCAGGCTGGAGTGCAGTGGAGTGATCTCAGCTCACCACAACCTCTGCCTCCCAGGTTCAAGTGATTCTCCTGCCTCAGCCTCCTTAGTAGCTGGGACTACAGGCATGTGCGCCACCACGCCCAGCTAATTTTTTGTGGGTATTTTTAGGTAGATACGGGGTTTTATCATGTTGGCCAGGCTGGTCTGAAATTCCTGAGCTTAAGTGATCTGCCAGCCTCGGCCTCAAAGTGCTGGGTCTGTGTACCGGTGTGAGCCACCTCACCTGGTTAAATACCCTTGAAACTTTGATCTTGCCCTTTTTCAGTCGATCCTGTGTGTCCCTTATCATGTCTGCCCAACTGGTATTCTGATTTCTACTGCTGCGTGAGAGTTTTGCCCATTCTAGAACTTGATATGAGTGCATCCCTATAATGCGCACTATATTATGGCTGATCTTTTATTCAATGTCTTTTTTTGTTGTTTTGTTTTACTTTTTTTTTTTTTTTTAAAGATGGGGTTTCACTATGATGGTCAGGCTTGTCTTGAACTCCTGACCTCAGGTGATCCACCCACCTCAGCCTCCCAAAGTGCTAGGATTACAGGCATGAGCCACCGCGCCCGGCCGTCTTTCTTTTTTTAAGAGGCAGGGTCTTACCTCTGCATCCAGGCTGAAGTGCAGTGGCCCAGTCACGGCTCACTGCAGCTCAACCTCCTGGGTCCAAGCGATCCTCCCGCCTCAGCCTTACAATGAGTAGTGGGACTATAGGCATGTGGCACCATGCCTGGCTAATTCTTTACCTTTGTAGAGACAGGGTCTTGCTGTGTTGCCTAGGCTGGTCTTGAACTCCTGGGCTCAAGTGATGCTCTTGCCTCGGCCTTCCAGAGCACTAGAATTACAAGAATTAACCATCGTGCCTGACCCTCTTCATTTTTAAAAATTCATGTGGTTGCATATATCTGCAGTTTGCTCCTTTTTATTGCGGAATAGAAATTCACTGAATGAATGAATATACCACAGATTTTAAGTCCATTTATCTGTTGGTGGGTATTAGATTCTGCTGTGAATATCCTTGTGGAGTTCATTTTGTAGATACATGTTTCTATTTCTTTTAAGTAAATTCCAGAGTGGTATTTCTGGGTCATAGGATAAAATATATATTTAACTTGGGCCAAACGTTTTCCAAAAGAAATTGTACCATTTTGTACTCCCACTAGAAATGTAAGAGAGTTGGGTTATTCTATTAATACATATTTGCCAACAATTTGTATTTGGGTTTTTTTTTCTTTTTTTTTCTTTAAAGGTGGGGTTTTACCATGATGGCCAGGCTGGTCTTGAACTCCTGACCTCAGGTGATCCACCCACCTCGGCCTCCCAAAGTGCTAGGATTACAGGCGTGAGCCACAGCGCCCGGCCCTTTTTTTTTTTTTTTTTTTTTTTTTAAAGGTAGAGTCTTATTCTGTCACCCAGGCTGGAGTGCAGTGGTGCCATGTCGGTTCACTGCAACCTCTGCCTCCTGAGTTCAAGCAATTCTCCTGCCTCAGCCTCCCAAGTAGCTGGGATTACAGATACGCGCCATCATGCCCTGATAATTTTTTGTATATTTAGTAGAGATGAAGATTCCCTATGTTGGCCAGGCTGATCTTGAACTCCTGACGTCAAATAATCTTCCCGCCTTGGCCTCCCAAAGTGCTGGGATTCAAGGCGTGAGCCACCGCGCCTTGCCTGCTTTATCTTTTAATACTGGATGGCAAACACATCTGCCTTCTGATCCAGAGAGAGATGCCGCCTCTGTCTTCTTAGGAGTTTGCTTTACAGATATCTTTGCAAAGATAACCCAGAATGAGAGCAATTTGTTCTCTGTAAAATGTTCAGAAATTTGAGAGACCCAGTGGAAAATTGTCTCCTAGCAATGATGTATCTATTTATGTAGGTCTTTTTGAATTTCACTTAGCTAAATTTGGTTTGCAGTGTAAGGTCATATACATCTTTCAGTAGGCCTATTAGTGTTTTTTTTTTGAGACAGGGTTTGCTCTGTTGCCCAGGCTGGAGTGCCGTGGTACAGTCTTGACTCACTGCAATCTCTGGGTTCAAGCTATCTTCCCACCTCAGCCTCCTTAGTAGCTGGGACTACAGGTGTGCGCCACCAAGCCCAGCTAATTTTTGTATTTTTAGTAGAGACGGAGTTTGACCTTCTTGGCCAGACTGGTCTCGAATTCCTGACCTCAGGTGATCCACTTGTGCCGGCCTCCTAAAGTGCTGGGATTATAGGCATGAGCCGCCATGCCTGACCAGTGTTTTTTTTTTTTTTTTTGGGTTGGAGTTTCGCTCTTGTTACCCAGGCTGGAGTGCAATGGCGCGATCT